GCCAGTTTTCGGCGTGACGTTAGGTGTCTATTTTGAGGGTAACTTTCAGCCAGTGAACGTCCATGCTGCCGGAGCTCAACAGACATGTAATTGTGATTATTGCCGTTCACAAATAAACAATAACTATGCAGTCTTCTATCCACAATTTCAAAAAAAAGAAATGTTTAGTCTGCATGTATTCATTGAATTTTCGAGCTGGGTATACACAGTTGGATGACTCATTGAAAGTGACATTTTTGAGGGATGGCACAACGACAAATGAAATATTTCGGTTCCCAAGCAAGGAGAGGGTGCATGAACGCTTCCCGATCTATAATCGCATAACGTTTACATAAGAACATAATTTACATTACCATAGATAACATGATAACATGAATAGATGACTGATTCATGTTATCTTAGACATTACGCATAACTGCCTATCATTACTCATCACAAAATATCGAACGATAACCAAACAACCACAACAGCATCCGCCCCTTTAGCCCATCGCCTCGCTTTCAGTTGCCGGCATGGCCCTCATGACGTCATACATGACGTCACAGTACCGCTCGCTTAGAGCCGGGGTCACATGGTGTCCATGACCCGGGATTATCCTGTACACACCGGCCGGGACCATCCCAGCTCGGGTGTTAATCCCTGGGAATCGCAGAGAGATGCGCTGCATGCCAGAGCATTGCAATGGCTGTGGGCGGTGGGCTGAAAAAAGTGACAAGAACTCCGGCAAGCTGCGGGAGTATTGCAATGGTCGTGGAAGGTGGCTGAAAAAAGTGACAAGAACTCCGAAAGGCAATGGGAGCTTGCTCCATGCCAGAGCATATTGCAATGGTCGTGGAAGGTGGGCTGAAAAAAAAATGACAAGAACTCCGGAAAGCTACAGGAGTATGAGGCATGCCAGAGCATTGCAATGCTCGTGGAAGGTGGGCTGGAAAAAGTGACAGAAACTTCGGCAGGCTCCGGGATTTGTTGTGCAAGTGTTTATCTTGGCCGTTGCTTGGATAGGCAAAGTGAAAAAGTAACAGCAGCTTACAGTTCTTACTGATAACTGCGACGGCTGCAGTTCATGTCTCACAATGGCTGTGAGAAGTCAAAAAGAAGAAGGAGAAGAAACTTGGCATGCTTCTTGTGAGTGGAATCGTCATCAACACCACCGCAAAAACAGGCCGAATGCTCAATAATCCAGAGCATTCCATAAACACTCACGATCTTGCTCAATGTTTTATATAGGTAAGCTGCTTTTGGAAGGTAAAAATTGTGATGGTAAATATAAAACAGCATAAAAGAAGTACGTGATTTAACCAAATCGAAATATCATCAAAATGTGATCTTTGTTTGCATTTCTGTCTCAGTTTAAACAATGACGAGAATGCGCTGAAAACGATGATTTGAAACTTTTCCATAAGACATCAAACTTTGAGAGAAGTAATTAGCTTTCAAACTAGAAGTGTGTTAACCCTCGCCGGACCTATTGGTTTTCTACATACGCGCCGGCCGAGGGGGGGGGGGCGGGTACGACCCCCCCCTCGCCGTTTCGCCCCTGGTGGAGCTAGCGCGTTGCGGAAAAAACGAGCGTGTGCGCCGTTACGAGACGCAGAGGCTGGTACCCGATTTTAAGGTCCTAGGTCAATCGGTGACCTCTGAGGTCAGGTCAAGTGCCCCAAGGTACGGTTCAGTTTTTGGTGAATAACTTCGCAAAAAACGGCCGCAGAGCCGCGATTTTGGCAGCATCGTGTTCGCCTCGCTCAGGCGCGTCGAATGATATACTTTTTGTCCGGGTCAGGTCAACTTGGGGTGTTGACCTCAGGTCAAGGTCAGGTCAGCATCCCCAGGTCACGAAGTTGGTCGAAAGAGGTCATGTCGCAAATCATTCGATTCGGCAGGCCTTCCTGAGTCCATTGGTGGCTTTCCCGACTCGCTAGCTCAATTTGATCAAAAGTTATTGACGAAAAACTAAAATGACCTTGATGACGTCATAAATGACGTCACGCAAGGTCAACATTGCAAAAGTGACGCATCTAACCTTGCAAGGAGTGCATCAAATCACGATTCTGTGTGCTTGATATAGCTGGAGATCGTTCCCGGCGCCAGAATAGCAGTTTTCATTTTTCCCCATTGACTTATAATGGTGAGGTCACGAAAATGACCTGACCTCATATGACCTTTAGGAAAATCCGAGATATACAAGTTGTGGGACTCATAATGGATACTAGATCCTGCAAGTTTCATTTCCCTGTGACATCTCCTCTGGCAGTGAGGGCGTTGCGAAGTTGCGACATCTGAAGACCGTGCAGAGGTTCACTTATGACGTCATAGGTCAGTGACCTGACCTGACCCAAAAATGCGGTTGGTGTCAAAAGATCTGGCTTGGATCAAAGGTCAGGTATGCCAAGTTTCAGCTCTCTATCGCCAGCGTGTTTGGAGCTATCGCGAAAAAAACCCTATGGGGGGGGGCGGCACCCGCCCCCCCCTCGGCCGGCGAGGGTTAATACTCCCCATTCCTTTATTGCGAATTTTCTTTGCAAAACACAAAAGTCGCACTGATCTTATGATATACCTACTTAGATATGAAACACTTGACACTAGAGACTAGAGAGCTAAAGCCTGTGTGACGGTGCGTCAAAAGCCACGACTAAGTCACACTTTACTCGCGGATTTGTTTGGAAATTTCGCAACATATCTCCACTAAGCTGTTGTGCTGATAAAAGTACGTCCTAAAGTCGGTTAGCGACACGTATTTCATGAAGCTTTTGCGAATCTTCTGGAAGAAGAGGTCAAGAAGAGGATATTGCTGGAGGCGGTTAATTCACTAGTTTTGCGACATCTGAGAATCTTGGGACAGCAGACGGGCACAGTGGCAACTTATTGGTGACAAAACACTCAGACACCCGAGTTATAGCTGTTTGTGCTGTGCTATTGAGATCAACTGCAGATACTTGTGTACTGTGCAGAGGGAACTGTGTGCATCCTAGCTTGAGATGTCAATCGGATACCAACTTTTTGGTATACTGATACCAAACGGATGCCAACTTGGTATTTGGTATTCTATACCCAATGCATTTGGTATTTTACTGGTATCATGAGGCATCACTAATTTATAAGGTTCTCTGAAGTGGGTATTACTTGGTATATTTTATCAATTTTACTGCAGTTTGGTTTTCGGTATGTTGTTATTATTTTAGTTGGTATTTGATTCGGTATCGGTTTCAAAATTTTCTCTGCTTGACAGCATTACATCCGACACAGGTGCATATTTTTTATGTATAATTCATGTGTGGGAAACTTTTTGTGCGGCGAATGGACGCAGATTTACACAAACATTAAACAAGCAGCTTCTGGAGGAAACTGAAAATTTGGGATATTATTGACAATTTCAGCTCAATGCAATGCGTTAAAAATACGAACAGTACCTAAAATTAACCCGCGCCCCGTAGGGGGGGGCCGAAACGGCCCCACTGTCCTTTTTGGTCGATATCTCCTAAACGGCTGGAGATATCGCCACCAAACTTTTAGGACCCCTCCGGGCATCAATTTTACACATTGTGACCAAAATTTTTACCAGAGGCTATGATAGGTTGGCCACAAATGACGTCAGAGTGACGTCATGTTCTGTCATTTTCGACCGAAAAAAGACCTTCGCGAGAAGACCTGTCAGGACTACAGCTTTGAAGATACAGAAAAATGATCAAGACATAAAAGGTGTAGAATTGACAGGGCTACAAAACTGCTATCTCGAATTTTTGAAACTTTTGAGTTTTGACCCCCAAAAATCAAAAAAGCATTTTTTGGATATATTCGCCAAAAAATCCAAAAAGTTTTTTTTTGAGTTTCGAAAAAACCGGATTATATGTGACAGTACCTACCGTCTTCTATCTACATACCAAATTTCAGATCGATACCTCGTTTTTTGGCCAAGTTATAGCGAAAAAACTGTTCAAAAATGATGACGTCAAATTTTCAAACTCAATTTTTGGCAATTCTAGAACTCGTAGAGCAAAACGAAGACCACCATTAGACTCCCCGTGACGAGCTGCATCGAATCGATACCCATTTTATGCAAAAATATCAACTTTGAAATTTGACCTAATTTGACCTGACCTTGACCTGACCTTCACCAAAACGTGACCTAAGCTGGCCCCAAAGGCTGCCTAACCCACATAATCGCATTTGTCATGTAAAATGGACCATAAAACATGTATCACACGACACATTCATATTGTGACCCCCGGTGACCTGACCTCGCTGTGACCTGACCTGGTATCAGTGACCTCAGATAGCAAAGTATGTGTTTGACGAACAATGTACCATCGATGGTTTTCAATAAATTACCAGTTTACTCGCTTTCACAGCACATTTCTTGAATTGCCTGTGAACGGTGAAAATCTGACCTTTGACCTGACCTGTGACGTCATCGGTTTGACCTAGGTCAATGAAATTTGGTCACAAGGTAGTTCCCGGGTGAGGCTATCGAAATCCGTTTGAATTTTGAAAATCGGCCGGTAACTTTCCGAGATCTTAGGCGGGGGCCGAAACGGCCCCCCCCCCCCCCCCTACGGGTGGTAGGGTCCGCCGGTAGCCCTACGGGGCGCGGGTTAACGATGCCAACAGCAGACGCTGGGTAAACCATGAACAGCATATTGCTGGTGGGAGAGGGGATGGGGGGGGGGGGCGGACGAATCACATGTGAGATACTGCATGTCAATATCGCAAAACAAATCTCGCCAACATATCAGCGTTATCCTTTAGGAGAGCAGCTGAATGTACGTTTCACACTATCTCAAGTTTGAGCTGTTTGACACACAATTGAAATGGAAGCGCCAATAACAATGCAGTGCTGCAAAACATCAAAATTCTGACACCGTGCTGTAAACATACACAAGACTATGGATGAGATAATGGTGTTATCTCATCCATGCCCAGACTGTTCCACTGGGGAAAAAAAACTTTTTATTCTGCTACTCATCTCACAGAACATATGAAAAAGAACCCCGTTAGGGACTTACCATTCTAAGATCCATATCCGTTTTGCTCAGCTTTCCACTTCTTTCTGCTGTTGCAGTCGATATCCTGGTTTTTCTCGCGCTCTTTCTTCTATTACGCACCGTCACTCACACTCTTTCGTTTAACGTTCATCTACTGCTCTTTATCGTTCTGTTTTCGGTGCTTCTTCGTGTTTCTTTCTCCTGCCCCAGCTTGGCGTTGTCGACGGCGTTCTTCTTCCTTTACTGACTCGCTACTCCATGCTCCTTTGTCTCTTCCTTCTCCTGTTTTTGGATCCAGTCCTTACCCCCCTCACCAACCACAGAGTGGAGTCAGAGTGGAGTCAGAGTGGAGTCACCTTCCGCAGAGTCAAACCCTGACTCGCCTCTCACTAATGCACCACCCACACTCACTACCTCACACCACTTTATCCACAGGAAAACTGTAAGACACTCGTCTGCACGCCCGTCCCTGGACTGAGGCCAGCCGGATAATGGTGAGACCAGGTGAGACGATGTCAGACCCAGTGAGCAGAGGTGCGCCGAGGTGAGAATCTGGGCCGAACTGCGGATCACTGTCGAGTCAGATTTGTCTCACTCGCTGGAGAAGATGATGGTCGCCGCATTCAGGGACATTCACGTGACACCGGATGATCCCTCGACGACACGGATGTGGGGATTGTCTCCGGCGAGACAGTCCTGAGACAACGCTGAGACACAGCGGAGACAGCGCTGAGACAACGCTGAGTCACGGCCGATTCACGGTTGAGTCACAGTTGAGTCACGGTTGAGACACTGCTCAGACACTGCTGAGACAGCTCGGAGGCACAGCTGAGACACGGCTCAGTCACTGCTGAGGTAGCTGTCGGGCACTGCTGAGGCACCACCGCCGTTGCGACGCGCACTCAGCGGGGCAAAATCCTTTCTCGATTCCTGGAAGAGCCGCGGTCGAGGAAGGTCTTCTACCGCACCGCAAGAGTAACACTCTTGTCTTGACGAATTATGTTCATGATAGATGGTGGAAAACTTATCTCAATGCGCTCTGTGGTGCTGACGGCAGCAGAAAGAAGCGATCGCAGCGCATAAAATTGCAGGAAAAGACGCGATTGCGAAATCACAACCCGATAACGAATAGCGCAGTATGATTACCAGATGAAATGTTTTGTTTCGCGATCACCCGTAACTGTCACATATGTAACGCACGAAGAAAGTCCCGAGTCACGTAACGAAACGTTTCACACATCACGAATCACGAACCGCGAGATAGAACGATATTATCGCAACGATATAACGACCAACTCGAGCACGATACGCGAACGATATTGTCGCAACGCAACAATACGGCGAGATACGGCAAGCGAGGCGATCACGAAACGTCAGCGAAACGAGAAGACGAGACGAGACGAGAAGACGAGACGAGCGAGACGAGATACGAGGCGATCACGAGACGAGATGCGACGAGCGAGGCGATCACGAGACGATCACGACGAGCGAGGCGACGCGCCTTCGCAGCGCAGATGACTGTCGCCTCCTCAGAGGCCGGTAAGACCCAATCAGCCATGGTGCCGAGGGCGAGATTAGTGAAGGGGAGGGAGGGGGTGGGGAGGGGGGTCCAAGGTTAACGAGTGATGGTGCGCGCTGCAGCGTCGGGCGGGGAGGGGGGTGGGGGGTGGCAGAGGCGGCGCTAGAATGGGTCATTGCGGAGTTCCAGAGGCGGTGCTAGGAGCTCGTCTGGGGGAGTGGTAGATTCAGAGGCGGTTACAGATAATTATTATGGGCAGAACCAGTTGCAGTTATAAAGGGTGATTTTGGACAGAACCAGAGGCAATTGTAAAGGGTGATCATGAGAGGAATAAGATGAGGTTACACACGGTGATTATGGGAAGTATCAGAGACGGGTATAAATGTGAGTTATCTAAGGTTGAGGCGGTGGAGTGAGGGGGTTTGAAGGTGTGAATCAGAGGCGGTTACAGAAGGTGGATTATGGAAGACTTGCAGAGGCCGGTGATAAAACGTCAGGAGGTGCCAGTCAGAGGCGGTGCCAGGAGCGCACAAAGGAGGTCCGCCAGAGACGGTGAAAGTAACTGGCACCGGGATGGTTATCAGAGGCGAATGTAACGGTAGATCAGTCGAAGGAGGAGTATTTTCTGATGGTATGGTGGTTCCGGTGGCCATAGCAACATACTATGAGAGATATAGAGGATTTTTCATGGCTCCGAGTGGAAGATAAGGAATAGGATATCTTTTCCAAGCGGTTACTGGAAACCGAGCGACCAAAGAGCGAGTTTTTCTGGAACACGCGAGGAAATGATATCCGATCTTCCACGAGTGAGCCATTAAGAACCCTATATCTTTATATGTAGAGCTTTATTCATAATTGTTTAGAACATTATATCAAAATGTATTTATTTATTACAGACGATTAGAGTAGTTTGTTTTTTATTCATATGTTTCATCACATTGATTCGGTTATTGTCGCACCATCAAGTGAACTCTTGATTGTTGGCTATGAACCCTCGAGTCTTTATCTTTGCATCTCAGAAGAGTGCGAGATTTAAATATACCTGCACTGTAGACCCAATGACAAATCAACCTCCACTAGAAAGATAGGTTGCTTCCAGCTTTCAAGTTTCATTACTATTTTTCGTGGAACTGTTTGATACTTTGACCAGGGCATGGCTTTTAGACATCTACCGCGAAAACATTGATGCATGTTTTGACAAAACTGATCAAACTTTAACAGCAAAACAATCTACTGGAGCTCCAAAAGCCATCAAACATCGCAAGGTACATTCTCATAATAAATCCCTTTTCATGTAAGTTAAAGTGATTTTAGGAACATACACATGCTTTTCATTTGAACATCGCCCCCGTGTTTTGTTTGTGCAGAAGTTTCAAATAACGTCACTGGACATTTGTAAAGCCACTGCTACTCCCCTGCTTTGCCGAAGACCATCGCAGTCTTGTAAAGCAGAGCTGAAGGTAAGGACATAACTTCAAAGGTTTACTCTAATAAGTCTGTATAATCGACGATTCATACGTTGATGATTTTATTATGTAGGTGATTGATTCAATATAATTACAGCGATCGGTTGTATCAAAAGAGCTAGGTGCATGCATGCTTGCTTATCGTATAATATAACCGCAGGATGTTTGAAATAGACAAACACTATTCGTTAGTATTATGCTTTTTTTATTGAATACATGCACAATTGTACACACATGTAAGAACCGCAATGGTAACAGACAACTGTGTCATAACTTATAAGGTGTATAATCGTACGTATCTGCAATCTTGTATGCAAGGATCGTGCGCAAATCCTAAGAATTCGGTGTTGGCATCCTAACTGCCGGCCGAAATAATGCACAGAAGCCTCTACCACGCCCTGGGGGGGGGGGGGATGAGTGAGAAAGCGAGTGAGTCCTTCACTTGCGAAAGTGCCAAGCAGTAACACCCCTCACCCAACTGACTTTGTGTGGCCCAGGTACCACCCTGAAGTGTCTCAGGGTGGTATTCTGGCCACAGGGGTGGCACCCTCTGCACACAAATCAATTGGACGTAGAACTCCGCTGCTGAGTGGACGGTGGCCTTCAGTGTGACAAAATAGAGTTTTCCGACGTCATTTACCTTCAGTCATTATTTAAATAATAAATAAACTGGTGAACCCTCTGAAGGGAAAAACTTTACCCCCCCCCCCCCGTCTAATTCGGCTCCCGGGCCATGTAGCGACACACAGCAAGCGGGGTTCGAAAGAGCGTCGAAAATCACGAAACATATAATTCGACTTCTTTGTAGGTTAGGTCAAAGGTCAGGTCACCAATCAAAGGTCACCTGTCATCTAGGTAGCTAGTAGTTCTAGGTGCTGACCCGACCTAGACCAAATGAATGTGCGGACTACTTATCGGTAAAAGTGCCTTTGTTTGCCCTCCCCCACCCCCATCCCCACCGAAAATCCGTAGACGAGGGATTGGATGATTTCGATTGAACGATTGACTAAAGTGAAATATTTTTAACCCTCGCATGTGTAGGGGGGTCGGATGGACCCCCCATGGTTTTTCGCAAATAACTCGCGTAAAAAGCGGCCGATCGCGACGAAACTTTCAGTACCCTCGCATTGATCAATTTGACACCTACCCTGAAAATTGCATGACCCTGACCCAAATGACCTTTGACCTGTGACCTCTTTTCCGAGACCATGTTTGGCCGGAATCGCGATTCGGCGTACGTCGGCTCGCATTAGCCGCGCGTTTGCAAGCTTTTCGTGGTTTCAAACGTTCAAACATGTGATTTGATGTTGCTCCCATGCATTAGGGCGGGTGTCAAGGTCACCTGAAGGTCAGGTCAGGTCATTGACCTTTGGTGACCTCGGGTGACCTCGGTTCACTTTTTCGAGTTTTACATGTTTCTAGGCTAGTTTTTGGAGCTGAATTCGAATTTAGCAACCATTTGAACATTTACGAAGTAGTTTTGGTGCCTTCGTAACATGTTACGAAGCTGTCAGAGGCGGTTGACACGTACTACGAATACCCGTCACGACGCCTACTGATTGACCTGACCTGACCTGACCTGACCCGACCTGGTCTAAATGCTTAAAGACATCATCTGTGATCAAAACTAACACGATATTCGTGATCAGCACCCCGAAAACCCCTTAGCAGCCACACTTTACGACTTTCTAATAGGTCCCGATTTTCCCGGCTTTGGGTCATTGACCTGACCTGGAAGGTCAACCAATGACCTAGGACCTTAAAATTGGGTATCATCGGCTTTCTCTTGTCACGGGCAACACGCTCGTTTTTTCCGCGAACCTCTAGCTCGATCAGGGGCCGAACGGCAAGGGGGGGTCCAACCGACCCCCCCTCTACACATTAGAAGCTGTGTAAGCTTCTAATGTGTAAAGCTGGAAAACGCCGCACACATGCGAGGGTTAATGCTGATAATTCCATTTATAACCGTAGGATAACATACCAGACGTTTCTTGCATTTATCTAATTCAATGAGCTATGATATTCTTAGTTGAACACAGGTATCTAAGTGCACCACTAAACATTGAACATGGTATTTTATCTGTCCCCAGGCTCCAAGCAGCGATGAAGCCACATCGCCTGACGACGTCGCTGGTGGTCCTCTTGGTGACCGTGCTGCCCTCTATACTCACCGGCAACGTGTTTCGTCAGTTTGCCACCAGTTGTCGCTACAGTGGCGACACGCTGGCTACACTCCCAGCTATTGGCGTTATGCGCTGCGCGGCGGGCTGCGTAGCCAATCAGGCGTGTTTGGCGATTCAGACGTCAGCTGATGGTTGTCAGCTGTTTAGTCAGCTGACTGAAACGCAACAGCTGTCACCAGCGACGAGCTGTCGTCTACTGCGGCTCGTGAAACACGACTCAGGTCAGAATCGCGATTTATCAACTCCGCCTCATACCAACGTCAAAGAAACGGCAACAACAACTACTGTATTGAGCGATTCTGTAAGCATGTTCAACACCAATGACAGTGCAGTGGAGTTGAGCAGCACAACCCAGAACACCTCAATGGTGGATAAAATGACACCGGAGTATGTAACACAGGAAAAGGCGGTTAGAAACACAGCACAAGGTGAAATTGGCAATGGCACAGAGAGCACAGCAGGAGGTACAGTCATTGGTTCCACGTCCGTGACTTTGACGGATAGCACGGTTGGGGATATTACGGCAGTTGGTAAGACTACGGACCAGACAACACGACAAACGACGCCAGCGACAAGCTTTGAAGCGAAGACAGTGGGAACAACTTTGGATACTGCATTTGGAAATACACCAGAGAGTGGAAATGATGTGGACTGGGGACTTGAAACTACCACCGTTGGAAAAACTCCAGAAAATCTAGTCCCAAGTACCACGGAGAAAGCTGAAGTTACAATTGAAAACGCAGTTGTGACAACAACGGAAAACGCAGCAAGAAGTACCGAAAACTACTCAGTTGAAAGAAGCACCGAAAGCATTGTAGTGAGAACCACGGCCAACACAGTTAGAAGTAGCACGGAAAATACAATCAAAGGCAGCACGGAAAATTCAGTTGGAAGTAGCACGGAAAACTCAGTTGGAAGTAGCACGGAAAATGCAGCTGAACGTAAGAGGACCACCTTTTCTACCAAGACCACAGCGGAGGCGGAACGTGATTTACATATCCAAACACTGAACAATATTGAACAGACCACAGCAAAAGATCTTACCGTGGAGATCACAATAACAGACCGTGAAACACAGATAACAAAACACCCTTCCATAGAGACGAAAGCAACAGGTCATACCACTAAGGCTGAAACAGCACCGTACGATGCGACTTTGATCACGACCGTCCTTACAACAGGACAGGGGCCCAACACCAGCCCTATCTCGGAGCATACGCCAACACAAAGTACAGGGTCTACCAGAGCCATTCCAACAACATACCTGGATACAACAGCTACCACAAATCCAATTTTGGAGCACACACCGCCACAAAGTACCACAACAATCTTCACAAGTCCCAGATCAAACCAGGCAATAACTACCACTAATCCTATTTTGCAACGCACTGGACCCCAGAGAACCCAAACCACAACACACCACACCACTCTACAAACTACCACAACACCCAACGACCTTATTTTCGAACACACACCACCACAAAGTAAGACTTCCACCACAACAAACCCAACAACAAGCCAGGCAGCCACAGCCACTACTAAAACTATTTCGCAACACATTCCCCCACAAAACACTGCTCTCACAACATACCGGGAAACCACAACAACCGCTGTATCCATTTCGCAACATACCTCACCGCAAAGTACAGACATTTTCGCGGTAGCCAACAATAACATATTTATGTCTGACATGGAGCTTGACAAAATGCTTCAAGATATCAAAACCGACGCAGCTGATATCCAAAAATCAACCACCACTAGCCCGGCCCCTAAAAAAGACTCTTCTGCTGATTTCTCAATGATAGCCATTACAGCGGGAACTGTAGAGGATGGAGATCAACAAGCTCTCGTGTATTCTCAACAGCAGACTAGTTCGGCCAGCGCCGGTTCGGATAATTCGGATTATTACGACTGGAATCCATTTGACTAAAGTAAGACGGCAAAAAAGAGCGAGAAAAAAACGGTGGATGGGTGTTCAGGAATTGAAGAAAGAAAGAAAAATCTTTAAAAAAGAGGGTATTGTAAAGAGAAAGGGAAAATGAAATACTTATCGTAAGGAGTGGGAGACACTACAGGGATCCTTGTAGCGAGTTTTAGACACAGCAGTGATGATTGTAGCGAGTTTGAGGCAAAACAGCAGTGATTCTCACTGTATGTACCCCTACGCAAATACGTACACATGGCCATAACAAACACACTTTCCGTAGACAATACCCAGCACTGGTGCTCACTCTAGTGTTGTTTACTCCTTCAATTCACCCCAAAACAGTGTTTTACACCATACCATAACGGAAAATACACCGTACGGGGTGTACCGGGTATCCGATCGTCGTTGCATCTATATTACTATTTGAGGAGGGTGCGTCTGTCCGTTACCGAGGTCCCGACTTGGTGGTGCTTTGCGTGGACTGCAGGCCAGACCGTTGCACCTAGTGCTTTACTCTCGGATGACATCATCTGTGTCGTCATCTGAGGGTATCATATACGTACTCTGGGTGTTCCATGAGGCGTAATTTTGACAAGTTTGGGGTGAGGTTGTTGTTCGGCGACGTGAGTATACGGTTCAATACACTCTAGCAAATTATTGCTGTGTTTGTGTGTGGTAAAATAGAGATGCCAAGTCTACATATACCCATGTTTCCGGGACTCCAACTCCGATTCGATCTCAAGGTGGAGGTGACTGATACGACTCCGAGAGAGAGGGAGAGAGAGAGAGAGAGAGAGAGAGAGAGAGAGAGAGAGAGAGAGAGAGAGAGCGAGAGAGAGAGAGAGAGAGAGAGAGAGAGAGAGAGAGAAAGAGAGAAAGAGAGAGGGAGAGAGAGAGAGAGGGGGGCTGCGTTTGAAAGAGCGTAAATTCTGACGAACTTTCCTGGGTCACAATTAGCTCAGGCCAATTTTTTGGACCCCAAAGGCCATCGATGGTAAAGTTTCGTTTGTTGGTCCAATTTAGGCATTTTTCGACAAACCGGCGCATAGCTCGGAAATGATCAGAGCTACAGCGCCCCGGAAAGCGCATACGATAGCCCTGCACAGTGCACACATACTAAGAAACCTTCACTGAATTGACCTATGATCAACGGTTTAGCATACAGGGGGTAACCGTTTTTTTTTGTGTATGCGTGCGGCGTTTTACAGCATCAAAAGTGTACGGGGGGGGGGGGGTGGACCCCGGCCCCCTCTTGCCGTTCGGCCCCTGATCCTTATTCATAACAAGTTTCAGTTTTCAACCACCAACTTCGGCGTCGTAACATGTTCGCAAAGGCTCCAATGGATGCTAAATTCCAAATAAGATCCAAAAACTTCCCTGGACACATGTAAAACTCAAAAAGTGAACCAAGGTCATCAAAAGTCAATGACCTTGGTCTGACCTGAGCTTGACACCCACCATAACGCATGGAACCAACATCATATTTGCACGCTTGAAACCACGAAAAGACTGTAAACGCGCGGCTAATGCGAGCCGACATACGTCGAATCGTGATTCTGGCCAAACATGGTCTCGGAAAAGGAGTCACAGGTCAAAGGTCATTTGGTCAGGGTCATGACATTTTCAAAGCAGCTGTGAAAGTGATCAACTCAAGGGTACTAAAACTTTCGGTCGCAATCTGCCGCTTTTATGCGAGTTATTCGCGGAAAAATAGAGGAGTTCCATCTGAATTTCCTAACAAGTGCGACGGTAAAAGTTGTCCTAGGTAACTATGGATAACTTGCCAAAGCAATCATCATTTTCATGACCTTCAGGTAAACGAAAATGCTATGACCACGAAAAACGGCTCCCTATTCCAAAGTGTATTTGTTGCCACACTCCTCAAACACACATATCCACATATAGAGCACACGCACATACAAACAGAAAAACAACAGAGATACTCGTAGTTCTTGCATTGTTAGCATGAGTGACGTACAGCCCACCGCTAAAGTAATGTAGGGTTTTACCAATCTCAACGGTTGGCTTTGACTGGCGATTGTTTAATGCGGAGTGATCGAAAAGAAGATGTCAATAGCTAAAGTTGCAGCTGCAAGGGTGACGATACATATAAGCTACATTCAAAGTTTCATTATAGTCTGGTTAATCGTTCCTAAGCTTCAGAAGCAGAACATACCCATGACTGAAACCGCACATTACTTCTGCTGTGGACTGCACATACCTGACTAGCCTCGATAGCACATTCAACGTGGCGTAGATACTATTTTGCAATTCATCATTGCAATACTGCCGTTCATTCTGACACTTAGCGACTTAGTAGCGAGTACGATCTAACCAGTTTGTTAGGTAATGCGAAATCTAATAGACAATATTCTCCTACTCCTATACATGCTCTTTTTTACTAAAGCACAGTCACAAGGCTGCTCGCAGCAACTGCGATGCCTGTTCGGAGTCAGAGTCGAGATGGGAGTCGGAGTCGGAACAACGCCCATGCCCCTCTGAATCCTTGCGTACGACACATCGTGCTTGATCAATAGGTACGTTTGATTTACGTGGGTTCTTCAAAGCACCGGGTACTTGCATTCCTTCAGCGATAACTGCTGATTTCCTTCTCTTGCGCCAATATAACAATGCTACATGTCTCAAACTATTGTAAAAGAAAACATAATATATTTGTTAATGTATATTGTATATGATTCCTAATGGCTTCATCAGAGTCGCTTTTAGTTTTTTGTGACGCATCATATTTTCCCATGACTTTTTGAGACGTCATAAAATCTGTCTCGGGCTATTGTTCTGTGACATCATAAAAAAAATGCTCGGGACTACCTATTGATGCCCACGACTAGAGTTTTCTTGACATCATCACATTATACTTAATTATTGTTGACGTCAACAATTGATGACACCAAGTCCTGTCCCTGACTATCATTGACGTCATCATATTTTCTACTGTTTATCAATGACGTCATATTTGTTCCGGCTGAGTCTGGCGCACTATTCCGGCCGTGGCGTCTCTGGTTGGATCAGGCGACTCACTGTTCCTGCCGAAACAGAAAGGGAGATCAAAATCAGATATCAGAAGATAAGAGATGAGAAGAAGATGAGAAATCAGAGGGTTCAAAATGATAGTGACCTTGTTATAGCGCATGACGCTAATTGATAAGCTTCCGATATTGGAGCTCACTTTCTGTGGAAACGGACGCGATTATTGTATTGGCAATTCTTACTTTTTACGCCCTCAAACTCGTCCTATTCACCAGTTTTATTTCAATTTCGTGCTTCTCAGGGCCAGATGATATCATCAGCACTATAACATTCAGCTCTTGTCCTAAACACTTATTCAATCTTATTTTGGCTTTGAATTGTATTAATCCCTTTAACACGCGCAGTGGAAGGGGGGGGGGGCGGATTTCGCCCACCCCTCCTGTTTTTCGCCAATAACTCGCGTCGCAAACATAATATTAATGTGAAATTTCGGCTACCTGCCCAGAATTGAATTGCGGATCTTCTCGTGCAAGAAATAAGAAAATCGGTTCACAACTTTTCTAGTAATAGCGGTCTAAAGTCAAACATCCTGCCGCCGCGCGGCGGCGCGGCGGCGCGGCGGCCGGCGCTAGCCGTTACGCGCCGCCTGAATTGTAGACTGTGCCGGGGCGGGACGGTTCCTTCTTTACATCGCGCTCCTTACCGCTGATTACATTAGCTTCGCGTCAAATTCGGTGAGAAGACTGAGAAATGTACAGGCAATCATATGGTCAAAGAACTTTGAAAATCGGCCGGTAATAATTTGAGTTATGAGTGTGTAAACACAAAATTGTGATTGCCGCGTTTCCCGCGTCGGCCGATCCCGCTTCAGCCGGCGACATCTTACACTTAGCAGGCTTCTAACTGCCATATTTATTGTTGGATTATCTAGAAATTCACCATACATACTCACAATTGTTTGTTCTTTCGTATAGTGAAAGAAAAAAGAAAATCGGCCGGTAATTTTTTGAGTTATCGGCGTGTAAACGCAAAAAAGTCGCTAATATGGCAGATTTGACCACATTTGACCTCATTTGACCTTGAAGATATTGACCTAGGGTCATGAAATTCACACACAACAGAGTTCCCCACGGCCCCCACCTACCCTCCAAATTTCGTCTTTCTAGCTCCAGTGGGAGCTGAGATCTTAGGGGGGGCGACATCCGCCCCCCCCCTTCCACTGGGCGTAGTACTCGCAACCCTTCCACTGCGCGTGTTAACCCGGCAGTTGCTGGGGTATTTCGCCACCCACCGTTTGCTGGGGGGGGGGGCGTTAAACGCCCCCAGCCGATAACTCGAGAACCAATAGGCGCAGCGAAACGCACGAGGCGGCAAACGAAAGAACGCTACGAGACGCTTCAGATGAGTACTTTAGAGTTGAATTTTGAGGTCACAGGTCGGGTCAAGGTCAGGTTAAACACCTGAAATCGGGCTTTCAGTAGCATGGACTTCAGGACTTCGCAATGGGCGCCTCTCGTCATAAACTCTGTCAAAACGGTGCAACATCCATCATATAAGGCCTACAAGAGTGTCAGCTCCATGTAGGGGAAGTTGGGGGAACGCCGAATACTTTTTTTCTGACGCCCGTAGCACGCAAGGTAGACAACATAAGCTATTCTTGTTGGCGGCATTCGAGAGGCCAGTCTTTTGCCTTTCAAACATACCAGGCGCATTTGATGAATTCGCATACCGTTAAGCGCACAAACTAAAAATATCAAAGAAGTGACTTTTTCGGCGTTGCCCCGGACTGCGGGGAAAGCCGAAAATGGGAGAAATGATCTACGGGAATGCCGAAATTGATGTTTTGCTATTTTATCTCAAATTTTATCCAGAATTCGTCAAAGCTGACACGCGTTTTAAGAGCTTGAGGACGCTTGGTGCACACTGGAAGTTATAATTGTGTGATATAATAAGAAAAGGCCAGGTAAATCATTCCTTATGGTAACAGGCTGTTGTGTCGGTTAAAAGTGTAATTTGTGTGACTAAAAATACGCGTTGCTATTCTACGGTAAAGTTAAAGTTCGGTAAAGTTCACGTAGCATGCTTTAACACGCGTAAATGCACGTTTTCGGCATTACCCCAGCCAGCCATACTTTCATTTGCAGGCCCATAACTTTTCAACGTGCTGTATAAATTTCAAATAGGCAGCACACTTATGCAAAGACGTGCTGAAGATTACTTGACCGAATTGGCCAGACAAACGGTAGCATAATGAGTAGGAAATGCAGCTTCGAAGACGCATGTAGTACAAAGGAAACGTACCTTGAAAACGCTCTTGGCGCCCTCACAGCCGAAGTATTCCGAATGACAACTGGTAACAAACATGCGATAATTGGTAGTCACTTAAGCTTCAGAGCATCACTGACAGGTGTCATCCATGTCGTACGGTTTTCGAAATATCTCGAATTTCGGCTTTGCCCCAACCCCGGCATTGCCCCAACTTCCCCTAGGGGTCAGTAAAGCATAGGTCAGGGTCAAGGTCAGGTCAACCGGTTAAGCACATATCCCCGAAAATCAAAACTGATATTCGCAGCCTGTGACACATGTTTGATGGGTAATTTGGGGCGTAGAACACGATGGTGACATTCATTTTATCATATGTGTACGTGTTTGGCTCAAAAAGTTCAATTTAAGAAATGCATGTATCATGGTCGTGAAGTAGTCACGAGAAATTGCCAAGAATCAGTTCAAGATTTTGGAAAATGCGGAACGATAATCAATAATCGAAGATAGCCATTTGATTGTTCATGGTATTGGCAGTCTAATGGCGTTTACGGCATGTCTGTATGTCTATTCTGTGATTTTATATGATTTTTTGAACATATGCCGTTTTTGGCCGAAAACTCAGAAATCATGACGTCACTAAAACCTCGATATCTCAAAAATTTCCCGACCGATGTTTTTGAAACTTTGTCACAATACACTTCAATCAATTTCCTACAGGTACTCAAAATTTGGCGTGCCTGCGGCGTGCCGTTTTTATGCTATGGCCCGACGAAAAAAGTGGGGGCGTTTAACCCGGCACCGCCTGGGCTATTTCCGTACCCACGACAGCCTGGGGGGGGGGGTCGGATCCGACCCCCCCCCCTGTTATCTCGAGAACCAATGGTCGTATCGAGCCCCGCGAGGCGGCGTTCGAAAGGTCTCTACGAGACCTTCCCAAAGCACTCTAAAGATTTTAAGATTGAGGTCAACTTTCGGGTCAAGGTCAGGTCAAAGGTCAAATTCAGGGGTTTTGCATGAATCGGCTTACGGACAGCGGAATCGATAGCTGCTGCTCGAAACTCACCAAAAATGACCTCAAAGGCCTAGTGAAGGTACCATGTGCGTATAGGGGTCATACTAGGTACAGGTCAAGGTCAGGTCAGGTCACGAAAGGTCACGGTTTTCAATTTCTGCTACATGGGCGTGCGACACATGTTTTATGGCTTATTTTTCAAGCCGAATCCGATGGTAGGTAATGGTTATATGTGACCCCAAGTCACTGTGCTGGTGATAAGTGTGCATTGAAAGCATAAAAAATCGTTTATACTATACATAACTAAACGAGGGCTAAGAAAAAAAGGTCAATTTTTCAACTTTTTATTTTTGACACAAAAATGCACTTTTCTAGACGAGCTTTGTCCCAGGAATCTAGTGGTGCCATTTGTTTTCACATGCGATGTTCAGAAGTGCCTCTAATTCACGAAAATGCTTATGACGTCACCATGCCCTATGCATGTTGGAGCTATTTTTTACAATTTGGGGGTCAAAAATCAAGATAGAAAGTTGAAATTTTGGGCATCTAATGTTCAAATAGAGTTCTACAACATATATTCCGGTTTTTTGGAAATTCCCAAAATTTTGGATTTTATTAGCTGTTTTCCAAAAAATATAGTTTTTTGAATTTTTAGGGGTGAAAAACGCATTTTATGGAAAATCCGAGATAGCCATTTTAAAGAACTCGTTGAGCTGTGTCTTTTGATGTCCTTAATTTGCCATTTGCTTCAAACCCTGATTTTTGGCGATTTTTTAAACATTTACCACTTTTTGACTAAAAACGCCATGTAGTTACATCACTAAAATCGATATATCTCAAAAATTTTTAAAAATTGTTTCTTAAAAATTGCACAGGAGGCGTCAAATTGATGGGGAAGAAGATATGTCAAGTTTCAAGTAGATAGCGAAAGTGGTTCATGAGTTATTCAAGAAAAACGGAGGGGGGGTCGGATCCGACCCCCCCTCAGGCGGTCGCGGGTTAACGCCCCCCCCCCCCAGCAACTCGCGGGTTAATAGACTTATTATAGCTATACTATCTCAGCATCTTTAAATCAGTCTTATTGCAGCATATTCCGATACCAGCATTATTTTTCATCGTTCCTGTTTCAGCGTTATCCTTACCGATCTCGTATATTTGTTGAAAACACACACGTACCGCTCTTCGAAGTCGTCTCCCTCCAGGAGACACGTTCGGTCTCTCCGTCGGGATCCTCTCCATTCCAGATAGGCCAAGAGGACCTGTTCAGCGGCACAGATGAACAGCAGGGCACCTGGAGGGGGGGGGGAGGGGTGTCAATAGCAGAGACTACTCCATATCAGAGACTGCTTCATAGCAGAGCCTACTCTATATCAGAGACTACCCCTCCATATCAGATACTACTATATATCAGAGACTACTACTACATATCAGAGACTGTTCCATATCAGAGAGTACTCCACTGCAGAGAGTACTCCATATCAGAGAGTACTCCATATCAGAAACTACTACAGAGCATAGACTTCTCTATTTCAGTGATACAGTAGTCTATATGTAGTAACGCAGTAGTGATACAATAGTTCTTGTCAATAGACTTTGTGTATGTTAGACTCTTTTGGTTTAGCCGTAGCGAGACCATTTCATAGCCGAAATGATGGTAGGAATAGGAGACACTGTCAATAGGCACTATCAATAGGTAGGCATGCCGTAAGGTGAGGTGAGTTGGTACGAATTTACATTTTCCGGCCTTCCTCTGTAAGTGGAACATTTTTCAAATAGCATGTAAATTGCAAAAATGCTGCTCTGTGAGATTATCCATATTTGTCTGCCATGGTGTAGCTTGTATTTTCCGTTTGCACAATAATTTCAGCTTTACTAGCGTTTTTACACATTTTCTATAACACGCATATCTATACGCATAACAAAGTCATACAATAAATATGCTACTGTCAGCAAAATTGAAATATGTATGTCGTAGTTCACACACATTTCACCAAGCCAAGCACTGGATACATTTCCCCACCCCTTTTTCCCTCGTTTTCCCCATTTCCCGTGATTTTTCATATTCCCGTGTTTTCCCCATTTTCCCTCGTTTTTCCCCATTTTCCCGTGTTTTTCCTCGTCTCACCTGCCATTGCCGTGAGCCACATCCGGTGCTGTGACGTCATCAGTACAAGTAGAGCGAGGAGAGAGTAGAGGATGGCCCTCGTTCCGTCCCGCAGAGTGGCGAGAAGAGACCAGGGTAGAGGGGCGGGGGACGACCAGCTGAGGGAGAGAGGAGTTAGAGAGAGAGAGTGAGAGAGAGAGAGAGAGAGAGAGAGAGAGAGAGAGCGAGAGAGAGAGAGAGAGAGAGCGAGAGAGAGAGAGAGAGAGAGAGAGAGAGAGAGAGAGAGAGAGAGAGAGAGAGAGAGAGAGAGAGAGAGAGAGAGAGAGAGAGAGAGAGAGAGAGAGAGAGAGAGAGAGAGAGAGAGAGAGAGAGAGAGAGAGAGAGAGATTGCAGTGAGAGATATTTCCAATCGAACGGATATTGTATTCGTTTCCGACTCTCAGCCTGACTTTCAATCGTTGTAAATATGTCGTGGAAACCCCATGATCAGACGTTTATCGGACATTGATGGACGTGGTTTATCTAGTTACTATCATAAATGAGAAATTAATATCGCTGGAAGTGAAATTGCGCCCTCCAGTGTCAGGCTGATTATATTAGGCTCGCTTTGAGACAACAATCGCTGTCAATAATGCTGGAAACGTTGTAGATAACATATTATTTCATAAGATTATTTCGTATTCCATTGCGTTTATGGCAGGTGTTCAGGCGAATGTAAATATCTTTGGAATGATATGGAATACCACGTCAAAAGATCATTTGAGTCAGTCGCTGTTACCTCAGCCTGGCGTGAAAGCAGGCCTCCGGTACCGAGGTGACCTCCAGGGCGCAGACGACGACAAATGAGCCTCTGGAACATGGTGAGACAGTATGAGACATAGTGAGACATGGTGAGACATGGTGACACACAGTGAGACATAGTGAGACATGGTGAGACATAGTGAGACACAGTGAGACATTATTATGTCTCCTTGGTCTCACTAAGTCTCTAAGACAAGTCACTAAGACAAAGTGAGACTTTTTGTGACACTGAACTATGGCGAGACAAGATGAGGCATAACGAGACTTAGAACCCTCGCCGGCCGAGGGGGGGGGGCGGGTGCCGCCCCCCCCCCATAGGGTTTTTTCGCGATAGCTCCGAACACGCTGGCGATAGAGAGCTGAAACTTGGCATACCTGACCTTTGATCCAAGCCGCATCTTTTGACACCAACCGCATTTTTGGGTCAGGTCAGGTCACTGACCTATGACGTCATAAGTGAACCTCTGCACGGTCTTCAGATGTCGCAACTTTGCAACGCCCTCACTGCCAGAGGAGATGTCACAGGGAAATGAAACTTGCAGGATCTAGTATCCATTATGAGTCTCACAACTTGTATATCTCGGATTTTTCCTAAAGGTCATATGAGGTCAGGTCATTTTCGTGACCTCACCATTATAAGTCAATGGGGAAAAATTAAAACTGCTATTCTGGCGCCGGGAACGATCTCCAACTATCTCAAGCACACAGAATCGTGATTTGATGCACTCCCGGCAAGGTTAGATGCGTCACTTTTGCAATGTTAACCTTGCGTGACGTCATTTATGACGTCATCAAGGTCATATTAGTTTTTCGTCAATAACTCTTGATCAAATTGAGCTAGCGAGTCGGGAAAGCCACCAATGGACTCGGGAAGCCCTGCCGAATCGAATGATATGCGACATGACCCCTTTCGACCAACTTCGTGACCTGGGAGTGCTGACCTGACCTTGACCTGAGGTCAACACCCCAAGTTGACCTGACCCGGACAAAAAGTATATCATTCGACGCGCCTGAGCGAGGCGAACATGATGCTGCCAAAATCGCGGCTCTGCGGCCGTTTTTTGCGAAGTTATTCACCAAAAACTGAACCGTACCCTGGGGCACTTGACCTGACCTCAGAGGTCACCGGTTGACCTAGGACCTTAAAATCGGGTACCAATCTCTGCGTCTCGTAACGGCGCACACGCTCGTTTTTTCCGCGACGCGCTAGCTCCACCAGGGGCGAAACGGCGAGGGGGGGGGTCGTACCCGCCCCCCCCCCCTCGGCCGGCGCGTATGTAGAAATTAGAAAACCAATAGGTCCGGCGAGGGTTAATGGGAGTTTTTGTGACACTGATCTATGGCAAGATATGATGAGATATTGTGAGACATGGTGAGACTTTGTGAGACATTTTGCGACACTGATCTGTGGCGAGACGTGAATTGACATGTTGAGACATGATGAGACAGATTGAGACATTTTAAGACACACTCAGACATAGTGAGGCATTGCACTATGGCGAGACACAGTACACAGTCAGACACAGTCAGACACAGACAGACACTGAACTATGGCGAGACACAGTGAGAAACAAGACGAGATCCGCCTAATGCTCAACAGCCATAATCTCGACATCCTGTGTCTGACGGAGACATTCTTGTCGTCGGACATCAGCGACGGCCTCCTACTGTTCCCGGGGTACCGTGTGTACCGACGCGACCGTGCCGTGCCGCGACGGGGCCGCACACAGGTGCGAGGCGGCGGCATTGTCGTGCTGGTGAGAAGCGACATCGGCGCGTGCGAGCTGGACGTATCGCCGCCCGGTGACGGCCGAGTCGAGCTCCTCTGGCTGGGTGTGGCGTCGCGGGGTCGGTCGGCGTCGGTCGGGACCGTATATCGGCCGCCGGACGGCGCGGTGTCCAGTGACGTTGATGAAATCAGAAGGCAGCTCGAACTAATGATGGTGAGAAAGGGACCATTATTCTTACTCGGAGATGTGAACTTTGATGTTTGCTGCAGCAGCAAGCCTGGTGTAGTAAGCTACTTGCGTATGCTCAGTGACCTGAATCTTCATCAACTCATCGACAAGCCAACTCGCCCGGGAGCGTCCGGCCCCGGAACCGCTATCGACCACATCATCCCAGACACTGCCGGCCTCCAGCGGTGCGCGTCGGTGATACCGGCGCACGTCAGCGACCACGACCTGGTGATGCTGGACGCGCCTCTACCGCGAGCTCGGCGACCACCGCGCACGGCCACCGTCAGGTCGCTCCGTAACGTGGACTATGACGGGTTGCGATTGGACCTTCTAATGGCGAACTGGGAGCCGGTGTACCGAGCGACATGTGCTGATACCAAATACGACGCTTTCCTGACTGTGTGGAATGCGTACATTGACCAGCACTGTCCGCTCAAGACCGTGCGATTCCGCCACCAAGGCTGCCCATGGCTGACCTCTAACGACAGTTTGCTGGAACTACAGGCACAGAGGGACGCCGCCAGGCGTCAGCGTGACCGGCGTCACGACGAAGACTCCGAGCGGGAATACAAGCGCCTGCATGCTGAGTTCAAGCATCAGCTGGCCCTGGCTCGTCGAGACTTTTTCACGATGCCATCTCGATCCGGCAACCCTAAGGAGACGTGGAACAACTTGCGAAAGTTCGCACTCAGGGCGGGAGCTACCGATGATCAGGCAGCTAGCGAGATTCGCCCAGACGACTTCAACACGTTCTTCGCTCGTGTCGGTTCCCGCGTGGCTGAGGAGCTAAGAGCGACTGGATTTGAGCCAGTGCGTCCACGGCCACCGATTGTGTGTAGCTCAGCTTTCCGTGTGCACGTCGTGACACTGCCGGAGTTGAGCTCTGCCTTGCGGCGACTGAGTAGCAGTAGAGCGGCCGGAAGCGACGGTGTAACTGTGCAGCTTTTACGCGAGTGTTTCGAAGTAGTGGGTCCTATTGTGCTACATGTCATTAACCACTCGCTTTCAACCGGTGTCGTGCCCTCTCTATGGAAACATGCCACGGTGGTTCCGATCTATAAGTCAGGAGACAAAACGTTGCCAGCCAACTTTCGGCCAGTCAGTGTTCTAAATGTAATCTCAAAACTAGCCGAGAAGATTGTAAATTTGCAAATTTTGAGCTATCTAAATAGTAACAACATTCCTACCCAGTTCGCCTATCGCCCTGCCCACTCGACGGAGGATGCTGCGCTCTGTCTAGCCAGCCGTATAGCTCACAACACCGATCGTGGCATGGTCACATCGGTGACGTCACTGGACCTCAGTAAGGCGTTCGATTGTGTCCAGCGTGGTGCACTGATGTCCAAGCTAGGATGGTATGGGATATCGACCCATTGGCTGGGGAGCTATTTCGCGAATCGGACCCAGACCGTGAAGGGGGGAACCAGCATCGAGGAGGTGCCGTTTGGTGTGGTCCAAGGCGGAACTTTGGGTTTCACCATGTTCAACCTGTTCATGAATGACCTTGTGGCCATATTCAGTTCGGCTGGCTATCTAGTTATGCGGACGACAGCCAGCTAGTGCATTGTGCTGGACCTGATGATGTGACGCAGCTCAAACGTCACATAGAGTCCGACTTAGTTCAACTGTCTCGGTGGTTTCGCTGTAACGGGCTCAAAGTAAATCCCACCAAGACCGAGTTCCTGCTGGCTGGAACCCCAGCAAACACCGCAAGCGTATCAGATTTAGTAGTGAACTTTGATGGTGTGTCACTTCAACACTCTGAAAGCATCAAGATCTTAGGTGTCCAATTCGACTGTCACTTAAACTGGGAAAAACAGGTTAGCTCAGTGGCACAGAAGTGTAGTGGTGCTATTGTTTCTATTCGGAAATTGAATTTACCTCTGGAGACAACCAAAAAGTTGATTCAGGCGCTGGTGTTCCCCACACTCATGTACTGTCTTCCTGTTTGGGCCCCCAAATCAAAGACTCTCAGGAAACGGATCGAGAAGGTGTTAAATTTCGCAGTCAGAACTGTCACAGGGCTCCGTAAATTTGACCGCGTCACGGAAGCCCGAATGGAGCTAGGCTGGCCTACGTTCGACGCGATGATCGATCTGCGCGATGTGCAGCGAATCTATCATGTAATGCGGCAGAGGGACGCATCTCGGCAGCTGAGGGCACTCGTTGAGACTCGGTCACAGGTATCGCTGAGACCGACGCGCTCCACCGCTGATGATACTATGCTACAAATCCCTAGGTGTCGTCTGCAGTGCACAAAAATGTCGTTCCCTCACCGAGCCATTGCGACTTGGAACCGCCTGCCACCGGATGTGAGGCAGTCGAGGGCGGCCAAGTTCAAGCGAAGCATACGCAGTTGTTTGGCGTCCAAATGATCCCGATAGGTATGTCAGTGTGGCTATCTGCTCGCTTCATATTTTAACTTACTTTGATTGTGCTTGACGCTGGAGTGTAAGTGCCTGTGTGGTTTCTCCAAAGATAAGCAATACATACATACATACATACAAACACTGAGACATGGTGAGAAATGGTGATCGGTGAGACACCGAGCCGCGCTGATTGTTTGACAGGTGACGAACTAACACAAATATATTCGAGTATTTGGAAAGAGACAGCTAAACGTGTTATAGACGGGAAAGCAGTGAATCGCATACATTTTGCTTCAAGTAAAATTGCTCCAATTGCAGCGTTTTCTAAGACGTTGTTTGTCAGCTAATTATCCCGATACTGCTCACCATTCAAATTCGCATTTGCTGTTATTACAGTAACGCATATCAACGCCATAAGATATAAGATAAACATAATTTTCCTCTCTCCCACTCTGATAAGGGACAGTACTTTTCATACTCACAGTGTAGCAATGGCGGCCCACCGGTGGTTGTAAGCCATGTCGACACCAACACCAAGCAGAACTGAAAAGGAAAGCCGTAAAAAATACCAATAAATCATCGTGACAATCACATCAAATTTCAAAAAGATATCAGTGGCGAGTTCCATCAACAGGAAAAAATCGCTGGCTGCTGGAGTTTTTGACTAAAGTCGTCCCTGAATTTCGCCATCTAGACGAAGAAAAGTCCACTGATGTGAATATTAATGTCAGACAGAGTGACTTATGTTTTCACTTCAGCCGTTTCCCTTTTCACGCTATTAGTTGAGGTTGAGGGAGAATTTCTGAAATAAAAATACCGGGAGCCGACTATTTTTCTGTTGGTAAAACTGGCCTCTGGTTTTGATCCATTTTAGATTATTCATCATTCAGTGCTTTGATCATTAGAGGCAATAATCAGGTAGTAAAAGAAGGTACTATGGACTGATTCAATCAAACCACCCAATACAATGCATTTTCCTGTTGGGAAAGTGGAATCAATATTTAGTATCTGCCGGAAACATAAATAATTGTGCGTTTTATGAGTCAAGGAATGTACTCTGTAAAGTCGTTTGACATATTCAAGATATGCTTAGCTTTCAGGTAGTGACTCGTCTTTTATTTCAAAACGTTTAATGTATTGCTTACACTTGCACCTTTTAGTGGTTACAAAATGGATCTGCATAGAAAAAGATCATAAGCATGTCTCAATGACTATCCTTGTCTTACTATCCATAAAACGGTGGTTTAGGCAATGCATTTTAAAACGCTGAGGAGCTGTTTTTCTGGCTTCATCTATGGCCCAATCTATGCAAAACATTGGACGCAGTCGTGTTCTGAATTTCCAGCGATGCTATGTATGTCTGAGACTACCAGCGCTGACGAGCTGTTTCTAATAAAATGAGGGAGAAAATATATCCGCCTGAGACATACTGACTCGACTTCTTCTCCGTGAGCCAGAGCAGACTGCATCTGGATGATACGACCTTGACATCTGGGATTTCAAAGAAGGGATTTTGGAAAATTTAATCATTAAAATTGGAATAACCGTGCCTGTTTTACTGGCGTGCAAACTATGTGTTGTTACGTACTTTGTAAGACATATGTTTCAAACGACCTTACGTTAGAATGCAACTTTAGTTTATGGTTCTTGTGTGGTAAACTTTGAAACGTGTTGTAAAGCATTACAAATGTTTTACCAAGAATAAAAAGCGAGTTACTGACTCCTTACTTAATGCCAGGGATGTTATTTACAAGTTAAATATTCATAAGCCTGTTATATGCAATTTCATTGCTTGTTAAAGTTTGTAAAGCTGTTTACAATATCACATCAAAGGAAACAGTTTGCTTTGCATAATAAAGTTTGATAATAAATTGCTGAATAGATGCATGTTTCAAATACCACTGCATAAACCAAATAACGATGCATTTCAATATGAGTGCAAGCTTTCGTTTCAAAATGAAAATATGTTAAAGAACCAACAAGTTTCAGCCAATATGCATTTCAGAGCTATTGAAGCTACTTCCCTTTTCATTGCTTTGGCCCCAGTCTACTGTCGAAAAACTAGCAAACCGATTCGCGTCGATCCTTAGCAGTTTGGCTTTAGTTTTTGCATTTGGCTTAACATCAACGGGCACAGCCGACCCGAATACAAATGAAGCGGTGATAATGTCCCCACATTTTTTTAGCTTAACAGAAATGTGTGCACCTTTTTTATTTTTAATCAAGATGAAACGAATATTTTCTTAACCCGGCAGTTGCTGGGGTATTTCGCCACCCACCGTTTGCTGGGGGGGGGGGCGTTAAACGCCCCCAGCCGATAACTCGAGAACCAATAGGCGCAGCGAAACAACCGAGGCGGCAAACGAAAGAGCGCGACGAGACGCTTCAGATGAGTACTTTAAAGTTGAATTTTGAGGTCACAGGTCGGGTCAAGGTCAGGTCAAACACCTGAAATCGGGCTTTCAGTAGCATGGACTTCAGGACTTCGCAATGGGCGCCTCTCGTCATAAACTCTGTCAAAAGGGTGCACAATCCATCATATAAGGCCTACAAGAGTGTCAGCTCCATGTAGGGGTCAGTCAAGCATAGGTCAAGGTCAAGGTCAGGTCAACCGAGTAGGCACATATCCCCGAAAATCAAAACTGATATTCGCAGCCTGTGACACATGTTTTATATGTAATTTGGGGCGTAGAACACGATGGTGACATTCATTTTATCATATGTGTACGTGTTTGGCTCAAAAAGTTCAACTTAAGAAATGCATGTATCATGGTCGTTAAGTAGTCACGAGAAATTGCCAAGATTCAGCTCAAGATTATGGAAAAATGCGGAACGATAATCAATAATCGAAGATAGCCATTTGATTGATCATGGTATTGGCAGTCTAATGGCGTTTACGGCATGTCTGTATGTCTATTCTGTGATTTTATATGATTTTTTTTTTAACATGTGCCGTTTTTGGTCGAAAACTCAGAAATCATGACGTCACTAAAACCTTGATATCTCAAAAATTTTCTGACCGATTTTTTTGAACCTTTGTTACAATAAACTTCAACCAATTCCCTACAGGTACCCAAAATTTGGCGCGCCTGCGGCGCGCCGTTTTTATGCTATGACCCGGCGAAAAAAGTGGGGCGTTTAACCCTCGCCCTGGCAGGGGGGGGGGTCGATGCGACCCCCCTAAGGTTTTTCGAAGATAGCGTAAAAACGGCAGCGCGCAGCGCCGCCAAATTTGGCACAGCCTATGGGGCAACTTTTTTGCATATGACCTGAAAATTTCAGGTCCGGGTGATCTTGGGTCAGGTCACCAGGTCAGAAAAACCGGTACAAGGTCATGGTCAAATTTCAATTTTCTTTTTGCACCTGTCCAACTCACAGTTTTGGACCGATTTCCTTCAAACTTTCAGGATGTGCTACGTTCACCGAGTTGTATAACATATAGTTCGGGTTTTTGAGGTCACTGACCTGAGGTCAGTTAGAGGTCATTACGTCGTAATGTTAACCCGGCACCGCCTGGGCTATTTCCGTACCCACGACAGCCTGGGGGGGGGTCGGATCCGACCCCCCCCCCCTGTTATCTCGAGAACCAATGGTCGTATCGAGCCCCGCGAGGCGGCGTTCGAAAGGTCTCTACGAGACCTTCCCAAAGCACTCTTAAGATTTTAAGATTGAGGTCAACTTTCGGGTCAAGGTCAGGTCAAAGGTCAAATTCAGGGGTTTTGCATGATTAGGCTTACAGACAGCGGAATCGATAGCTGCTGCTCGAAACTCACCAAAAATGACCTCAAAGGCCTAGTGAAGGTACCATGTACGTATAGGGGTCATACGAAGTACGGGTCAAGGTCAGGTCAGGTCACGAAAGGTCACGGTTTTCAATTTCTGCTACATGGGCGTGTGACACATGTTTTATGACTTATTTTTCACGTCGAATCCGATTATAATGGTTATATGTGACCCCAAGTCACTGTGCTGGTGATAAGTGTGCATTGAAAGCATAAAAAATCGTTTATACCATACATAACTAAACGAGGGCTAAGAAAAAAGTCAATTTTTCAACTTTTTATTTTTGACATAAAAATGCACTTTTCTAGACGAGCTTTGTCCCAGGAATCTAGTGGTGCCATTTGTTTTCACATGCAATGTTCAGAAGTGCCTCTAATTCACGAAAATGCTTATGACGTCACCATGCCCTATGCATGTTGGAGCTATTTTTTACAATTTGGGGGTCAAAAATCAAGATAGAAAGTTGAAATTTGGGGCATCTAATGTTCTAATAGAGCTCTACAACATATATTCCGGTTTTTTGGAAATTCCCAAAATTTTGGATTTTATTAGCTGTTTTCCAAAAAATATAGTTTTTTGAATTTTTAGGGGTGAAAAACGCATTTTATGGAAAATCCGAGATAGCCATTTTAAAGAACTCGTTGAGCTGCGTCTTTTCATGTCCTTAATTTGCAATTTGCTTTAAACCCTGATTTTTGGCGATTTTTTAAACATTTACCACTTTTTGACTAAAAACGCCATGTAGTTACATCACTAAAATCGATATATCTCAAAAATTTCTGGAATTTTTTCTTAAAAATTGCACAGGAGACGTCAAATTGATGGGACAGAAGGTATGCCAAGTTTCAAGTAGATAGCGAAAGCGGTTCATGAGTTATTTAAGAAAAACGGAGGGGGGGGGGGGTCGGATCCGACCCCCCCCCCCCAGGCGGTCGCGGGTTAAGCCTATGGGAAAATACTAAATTCGATAAATACTGGAGATATCCGCTTCTTTCTATCACTTTTGTGCTTTGAAACCACAGTACTTATCAGCAGGTCACTTGGTGCTTCTTTGTTTGGTGTACTTATCCATGGGTCAGGTCAAATGAGGTCAACTGATGTCAAATGACGTTTTTGCCAATAACTTGGCACCTAATGACGCTAGAGCTTAAAAATGGTATCATTGTGTTCCTAGTGATCAGCCGAATCGAATGATATGCGATATGATGCAATTTGATCAACTTGAACTTAATTTATTAATTTAAGTTTACTTAAAATTTCAGAAAAAAAAATTTTAAGTACACTTAAGCAAGCTAAAAAGTATATCATTCGACGCGCCTTGACGTGCTGAGTTCACTGGTGCTTTTCTTTTTGCTCTATCTTGATTAGATCAAAAGTTATAAGCGAAAAACTTTTGACCTGTTTTTAGCGAAATTTTTACATTTATACCCCCCCCCCAAAACCCCCCTAAATATTAACCTAGAGCAACCAAATTTGCACAGGGGTGAGAACCCCAGGGGGCCCACCTACCTACCAAATTTGGTGTTTCTAGGTGCCATAGGTGTCAATCGCGAGGGGGGTCGCATCGACCCCCCCCCCCCTGCCAGGCCGTGTTATGAAAAATGCCCTGCCAGGGCGAGGGTTAACGCCCCCCCCCCAGCAACTCGCGGGTCAACCGATATTGTCAAAACTAAAAGGTGACTGATTGCATCAACCACATCAACATTATCACGATCTTCACCAAACCCACTACAAAACCCTGAAAAAAACTCCGATCAAGGTAAAATTCGTTCAACCACATCTGATTGAAGGCTTCTGAACCATGACAACAATACATCCCCTCCATCATAATCACGACACGCTATTTTGTTCCGGCGGCGGACACTCTCGCTCCGCCGCCCTGAGTGCTCAGTGGAGGAGCGGCCGCCCAGGTGAGGCCTCCATCCTCGGCGCTGAGATAGGTATGGGAGACCTTGTTGAACATCGCCGAGGGTCGTGAAGTAATCCTGCAGTGGGTTCCTGCCCAAGTTTCTGCCTACTGCGGGATCGAGGGAAATGAGAGCGCTGACGACCTGGCGAAACCAGGGGCCGCCCTGCCCTCGGACGCCCGCTCGCTGACCCGGGTGGTTCATTGTGCGGCCTCGCGTCAAATGGTGCGACAACTGGTCCGAGTTACCATTCAAGTCACTTCTAGCTAGCACGCTGCCACTCCCCATCCCCGGAGAGGATCGGGAGGACACCGACCGTGAGGATGCCGTTTCGGTGCACCTGATGAGGGCGGGCCCTGGGCACTTACTGGTCCCGCTCGCTTCAGTAAGTGCACCGAATCGGCTGTCTCCCCTCTGCGGCGTGCCAGCAGTGCCCGGACAAGCGGTGCCCGTCGCGTTTTGCGCCGAGTGCCGAGAAGGCTGATGTGCTGGAGCACGTGCTGCTCCGCTGCCCAGCCCTCGCTGGCGCCCATGCCAGCCTCGAACACACCGCTCCGCCGATTTTTGTGGCCCTGAATCTTCTGGCCTGAACCTTGTTCCACGGCACGATACAGTGCGCTACACGTGTTGTGGTATTGGATCAACTAGTTGATTCAGACGTTCAAACATGGGAGAGCGTTCAAGGCTCCGGGACGCTCTGTCTGGTTGATATAGCCTTAGTCGGTAGATGTGCACACGTGCTTTAAATATAAGTGGCTTATTTTTGGCACAAATAGGCACCCAACTTTCGGCGCAAATCGTGCAGAAACTTATGCGCAAAATCCCTTGCGCCGAATTTCAGCGCATGAGGGCCTCACGGGCGTCCGGCGTATTGCAAGGGTGTTTTCCAGTCTGGTGGGGACAGGCCGGAATGATGAACAGAATCAATAGGGGCAATCCAGCTTAACAAAAAGTGATATTATTGTCCTTTTCTGCACTTTCGTATGATGTTCTCTTGAGGCATATTGCTTCCTAAATTGATGGGTTGTAGTGTTCCTTTGGTTATATGAAGCTCCTTTGAAGTGTTCCTTTGGTTTGGTCCTTTGGTGATGGGTTGTAGTGTTCCTTTGGTTATATGAAGCTCCTTTATGAAGCTTCCTTTGGCTCATATGAAGCAGGGATTTCGCATTCATTACATCATGGTGTACCTATAATAATTGCGGAAATTGCCATTATGCAATGCTGTACTTCAAGATTTGT